CCCCGGGCGTGGCTGATGCTGAACCAGCTACTCAGGCGGACACAGTTGAGAGAGGAATACGTCCCCCCGCCCCTCTCCCGCCCAGATCTCTGTGATGCAAGCCAGGTCGACCCCCACATCCACAATCAAGTCATGGATGAGAGAAGATTTATTATTGACCGACCTGGCATTGAGCAGCAGCACCGTCAGGCCCGAGGGGTGGTTGACAAGGCTACCTGGCGCCCTCTGGCTGGGGGAAGAACCAGAAGGGGGAACAGGTGTCAACCATCTGTCTCTCCCTCTATGCAGACCCGTTAAACCCCCAACGCCATAACGCCCATTGCCCAAGACCACCCCAATGTCGGCGCCCACGCACTCCCCAGGCAACCCCATGGAAGCAGCCAAGTGTGAATCCATTAAAAATGAACAGAATAAAACCAGATAAAAACAATTAAAAACAATAAACCCCCGCAACCACCCGATTACAAATTAAGGAAACCCATCCACAAAGTCCCTGGCCAGCCCAGCCCCCAAACGGTCCCAAATGGCGTCACTGCCCTTAGGCCGACGCCCTTCGGCCGATGCCCTTTGGCTGCTGGCCCAAGGCCGCAGGCCCTGGTCACGGCCAGCGAGTTAAAGGCCATAGCCCTTCCCCCACCCCCCACACCCAGACCGGTGCAGCTCTCACCCACACCGGGGGGGGGCGGGGGCAGGAGCAGGGCCTGTGGAGCACTCGCTGGCAGGATGGTGGGCCCGCAGGCCAGCAGCGTCCCGGCTCCAGGTCCTGCGATGGCACCATCCATCTCACGGGGCAGTGGCGTCCTCAGTGGGCGTTGGGACGCCAGTCAGCCGTGGCGGCAGCGGGTCTTTTGGTGGTGGTGGCGACGGGTCTCAAGAGTAGGGAGCATGGGTGCAGTTGGAGTTTATCTTGAGGTCGGGAATGTGGCAGTCAAAGAAAGGGAGCTGGCTCCTCTTCATGGTGGAATTTTGCTGCCCTCATTTGGAAAAAACTTGAAATGCTGCCCGTGACTTTTTAGTCAACGCTTGTATACGAAATGGAGCTTTGTTGCAGTTTAATTTTATTTTGTGGATGGGGAATATGGGTTCGGGTGTATGGAGTAGGGGTGGGTGTTGGAGTCGTATGAGGTGAATGTGACAGTCAAAGTACGGAAAGGGAGCCAGCTGCTTTCCATAGTGGATCTTTGCTGCCCTCAAGTGGACAAAGCGTGAAATGCTGCCCATGATTTTTAAAGAAATGCATAAAATAGAAGGGAAGGCTTGTAGCATTCCAGGGATGCATATCAGAAATGCTGAGTGTGGGTTCGGGTGCAGGGAGAAGGGGTGCGGTTGGAGGTGAGTTTGAGGTCTGGAGAATGTGACTGTCAAAGCAGCGAAAGGGAGCCAGCTGCTTTTCACTGTGGATCTTTTCTGCCCTCATGTGGATAAAGCGTGAAATGCAGCCCATGTTTTTTTATAGAGTGCATTTATATGAAGGCAAGGTTTGTTGTATTTTGGGGTTTTATTTCGTGGATGGGGATTATGGGTTCAGATGCAGGGAGTAGGGGGTAGGCGTGGGGTTTGTATGAGGTGACTTTGACAGCCAAAGTACGGAAAGGGAGCCAGCTGCTTTCCATGGTGGATATTTGCTGCCCTCAAGTGGACAAAGCGTAAAATACTGCTCGTTGTTTTTTACAGAATGCATTTATTCAAAAGCGAGGGTCACAGCGGTTCGGGCTTATATTTCAGGGACGAGGATTATGGGTAAGATGGGAGTAGGCAGTGGGGGTGGGGTGGCATTCGGGTTAGGTGAATGTGACAGTCAAAGTAGGGAAAGGGAGGAGCTGCTTTACACAGTAGATCTTTGCTGCCATCAAGTGGACAAAGCAAGTAATGCAGCCCTCGATTTCTTAATAAATACATAAATAAGAAGGCCGGGGTTATTGTGGTTCAGGTTTATATTTCAGGATTGGGGATTATGGGTTAGGGAGTAGGAAGTCGGGGTAAAGTTGGAGTCCGGTTTAGGTGAATGTGCCCGGGAAAGAGCTCCATTGCTGATATTCCAAAAAGGGGGGCAGGTTCACGAAAGGGGGAGAAAATGGATCAGGGTGGAAGCTGACACCTGAATAGCCACACACGGTTCCCCTGGTGGCTGGGGGATGGTGGGAGTTGTAGGACTTCTTCCGGTCTGCACATCTCAGGGGCAGCAACCAGAGGGATCCGTGGGATTCCAGCATTGTTGTTTCAGTATCCAGAGGGGAGACCTCCTTCCCTATCCTGGGACATGAAAGAGCACGTTTTCCCACCACCATTCTGTTCGCACCTTCCTGGTGTACCTCCCTCGCTGTCAGAGCCATACGGCAATGGGACTACTTGCCTGGAGAGGTGGTGGGTCTTCCCACCCTGGAGACATTCAGAATGAAACTGGGCAGCCATCTGAGTGGGATGGTGGAAATTGGTGTCCTGCTACAGCAGGGGGTTGGACTTGATGGTCTTGGTGGCCCCTTCCAGCTCTACTATTCCATGATTGTACGATCATATAATCCAGGGAGTTGGACCTGATGGCCTTCATGGCTCCTTCCAAAATTACAGTTCCCTGATTCTGTTTTTCCTACTGTGTATGACCAAACATGGGTCAACCTCTGGTCCAAAGGCCCTCTTATCCTCCTTCCAGCTGTGCTTGAGCAAGGATCCCCACCATGGAAAGCAATGTCCCCATGGGAGTTGGAATGATGGGTCATCTAGCCGGGGTGGGGTGGGCTGAATGCGAAAGTCAAAGCAGGGAAAAAGAGCCACCTGCTTTTCACGTTGGATCTTTGCTGCCATTAAGTGGACAAAGCATGAAATGCAACTCTTAATTTTTGAAAAAATGCATCTACGGCAGTACCTTGGCTCACGAACACCTCAGTTCATGACCAAATCAGGTCGCAAAAAAAAAAAAAAAAATCACAGAAATGTTGATTCAGGTCACAAACTCCGCATTGGGTGGTGACTGCAATCGTGGCCTTTCCCCCCCCCTCAGTGGGAAGATTGCCGCAGTCGTGCTGGGGGCAGTGGGGGGCAGGTGGCAGAGCGCCCCGCCTGTGATCTCTGCCATCTCCCTCCAGCACAATCGCGCCGGTCTCCCCCCCAGCACGCCCGCGTTCGCAGCCCCCTCTCCCCTCCCCAGTGTGCCTGGATGACGGGCACGCAGGTATGACGGGTGTGATCGCGGTCCTGCTGGGGTGCGGGGAGATGGCTGCACTGGTGCTCGGGGACCGGGGGGGGGGGGCGGTATGGCCATGATATTTGTTGTTCTTTGTTGCTTCGCTTCACATTTTTCTCATTAAAAAGAAATGCAGAACGGATTAACCTCATGGGGAAATTTAACTTGGCTCACAAACTTTATCCATTCCAGGACTCTGGTCGTGACCCATATTTAAATTTTTGAAACTGCTTGTGTTTTCAGTGGCTTGTTCCAACCTGTTTGCCTGGTTGGCCTGGAGTTGCCATGGCAACCACTGGAGGCCACTGCAGCATCGAGCAGGTGGCCAAGCTCTGAATTTTCCCCCTTTTCCCTTGATGGGAGAAGAACCCCTGGCTGAACGCAGCAGGGAGGATCCAAAATGCCGCGAAGGAGAGGTCTCTAGTGGGAGCCAAGGCCGCCTAGTGCTGAACACAATGAAGCATTGTTCTGCGCCAGGATTGTATAATGGTTTGTAAAGCTTGCGCATTTCTCTAAGATTAATGTAAGACATGTTGGGTGTCCAAATATGATTCATAGGTGTATAAATAAATGAAATACCGCTCTCTAAAAATGGGAAGGATGGGGAATCTAGGATGGACAAGGACTCCACAAGCTTATTGGATATTCCAAATCACGATCAGGAAACATGATGTTTACACAATGCCATGGTCACAAGGAAAGATCCAGGCACTGATCTCAATTGCAAGAGGAGAGTTAAAAGGCACAAATTTTAATTATACAAAAGACTGTAGAGGAGTGAGGACCAAAATGCACATAACAGCTGAACATGTGCTGTTTGTATCTCTTTTTAAGCCAAGAATAGCACCTGGCGAGGAGTAACGGGTGGTCAAGGCGGGGCCTGCAAGGCATGGGAAGGGGCACAAACGCTCTCTGGGCCGTGGTGCTGAAGGGCAGCCACTCCACAAAAGCTGCCGCTCCTCCGAGGAGGGAAGCAAGCGTGGCTGCCAGAGATGCTCCCTTCCTAGGGCCAATCGGAGGGGAAAGGGTCAACCCCCACCAGTTGCTGCAGGCCTGACCCCCTGCCTTCTCCGTGCCTTGTTCTTGGAAAACCTACTCATGTACTGCTGGCGCTGGGGTCAGACTAGACGGCCCAGGAGACCCCTTCTGACTCACTCTGCTTCTAGGTACTTTGGCCTTGAATATGGAGGCCAAGATTCACTCCTTCGTTCATTTTCTATGCTGCCCCACTAGCCATTGGCTCTCTGGGCAGCTTACATATTAGAAAGCATAACAAAATACAAAGGCAATGTAACAGTACGCAACTAAAGGAACGACAGCAATAGCATCATAAATAAACCGATGACATTCAATACATCCAGGATAAACAGAAGAAAATAAGGATAAATATGGAGATAAATTGAAAACCCCCTCGCCGTCAAAAGGGACCAAAGCCATTCAAATGCAACGGTATCAAATGACACTCTGGAGAACTGAGTGATCACATTAGAAAAAAAAATCGCAAAAGAACCTCTTAGCGATTTAAGTAAGTTTGCGATTTTGTGTTGGGCCACACTCCTGGCCTTTCTGGGCCTCCCTGCTCCTCTTCCTGGAGGTTCTGTTTTGCAGTCATACCCTGCAGTTAGAAAAATGCCCCTTTCCTATCTGTCTGCCCAGCCCGTTAAGAAAATGGTCCAGCCTCACCTCGCCGGCCCTGCCCTGCCCTGCTGTGCCCTTCGATTCTTCTCTTGTGCTTTCCTTCCAGACTAAAAAGCCTAACTTATACTGCATCTTAGGAGGGCTTTCGGAGCGGAGCCACTCAGGACAGTGTGGGCTTCACCCGCTCCCTGTGTGCCACCTTCCCATCTGCCCGCCTGGCGTTCCCCGCGTCTGCCTTCTGCACTTCCCCTTCTCGGCCAGGCTGCTTGTGCTCCCGTTCCAGGCCCCTCTCAGGTGCAACGCACAGGTGAAGCTCACGTTTGGATTTCTGCCGCAGGAGAGCCAGCAGGACGAGGGCGGCCATTTGACCTAAAGAAAAAGGGATCTTCTAAAAGAGAGCCACACACTCTCCTAGTGGAGCAAGTATGAAATATGCCGGGATTTGGCTGTATACTTAGAACAGTCCTGTGCTCGTGTGTGTCTGTGTGAGTGTGCGTGTCTTTGCGAGGGTCGAGGAGCGGCCTTCCGAGCGGTGGCGTGTCTTCCGGAGCATCTCAAGGCAAGGCCAGCTTGTGAGCTGCACTGATCCATCTTCTGGGCTCCTGCAGGTCGCAAAGGTGGGATGTGTGTTTGTGTGTTGTGGGGCAAGACAGGTGCACACCTGCGAGGCAAGGCGGCAACCCGCGGGGTCCTGGGCTGCGTGCACCCCTGCGGGGCTGGGCAGAGGGCTCCGGGGTCGCACCCAGGACCCGTTGCATGTGGAAGGGGCTGGCTGCAGTGCCTCTTGGGACGCGGGTGCAGCATCGGGGCGCCCAGGCAGCAGGTCTGCAGGTTCCGAGTTCCTGCGGCATCCCTCGGGGGCCCAGGGGTGGTGGCCGGCAGCTTGTGGGTGCCAAGGCATTTCTGCCCCTGCTGGCTGCTTTGGGGCTGCTGGGTGTTGGTGTGGGAGGCCAAATTGCAAGCAGAGCCGTGGCAAATGGCTTGGGCTTGATGTTTTGTGAGCCGCCCCGAGGCTTCGGCGAATGGGGCGGCATAGAAATTTTCTAGATAGATAAATAAATAACATCCTTGTTCTTGGAGCCCTGTGTCAGAATGCAGGGTTGTAAATCCAGTGGGAGAAGTGTGTGTGTGTGTGCGTGCACAGGGAGGTCCGTTCCTTCGATAGCCTGGTGAGATGCACAGTTACTCTCCAGCTTGGAGTCACTATGAAGCTGGTTCCTGTTCAAAACAGCCCCTTGTTCAGGATCATGAGGACTGGAACCTTCCTAGGTTTTCAGGGGAAAGGCTGTAGCTTAGCAGGTGGGACACATGACTCTGGGCCTTTTTCTTGGTGTCTGAGGGCAGGATCGGGGTGGGGGTGGAAGAAGGGCAAAAATGGTTCCAGGGTGCTCACTTTAGCCTCCAACCTGTGCTTTCAAGACACTGTCTGTGGTTCTGGAACTTGTTTAGCACCACGAACACTTAGATCGGGGTCTTCAAACTAAGGCCGCGGGCTGGATCCGGTCCACCATGCCCATTTAACCAGCCTGCCTCAGAGGTTTCGCACTGCGCGTGTGGGCACACAGCTTGCTCGCAGGAAGGTCGTTTTGAACTCGCTCGGAGGCAACGACATCCTCCTCGGGAGTGAGCCAGCACCTTGCTGTGTGCGCCCAGCGGCGGCTTGCTTGTGGGGAGATCATTTTGGGCTCGATCAGAGAAAACGATTTCCTCGTGAGCAAGCCAGTGCCTCACCATGTGCATGCCCGGTGGCGGCCTGCTGGTGAGGAGGTTGTTCTGGACTCGATCTCCACGTGAGCAAGCGGTGCCTCGCATCGCGTGCGCACATGCCCCACCCCCTCCCTGGCCTGCGCCCCACTGCCGGCAACCTTAACCCTAACCCCTTCAGAAAAAGTTTGAGAACCCCTGGCTTAGATTAAAGCTCAGAGCGGAAACAGCTTCCACTGATACTGTAAAAAGGGAAAGACAAGTAAACTCCACTTATTTATGTTTCAGTGGGAAGTAAATGCCAGGCTCCAGGCACCCAGAGCTCGGCACTGTTGGTGCAAGCCGTTACTTCAAACAGCTTTTCCCCACGGGAGGGGTAGGAGCACAGCCCCCATGGTTCCCAGAGAGCATGGCTGGGGATGACAGGAACTGTGATCTCACGCATCGGAAGGGCACCAGATTGCAGAGGCGTGACTTGGAAGGCTTTATCTGAAATGAGAGAAATGTCTGCCAGTTCTTTTGGCCGCCTCCTTGAGATATTTCAGCAAAGAGGCTCTTATAAACCAGTCAAAGCAGCAAACGGGAAGCAAATGAATGCAGCACAGAGGAGATGATGCCTGAGAGAGATGCACTGGACCCTGGAGAGCGAATTCCCACTCCGCTCCCTTCCTGGAGCTGCCTCACTTTAAATGGCATGTGTGTTTTGAAGGGAGTTGTGTTAAGAGAGGGCTTGCTTTTCCTACTGACACAGGCTTCAAGCAAGCATGCCATTTCTGGGAGAGCAGGCTGCTCCATCGGCCAAAAAGTTCAGCTTCCTGGGAAGTCCACGTTTTTTAGGAAAAAGCAGCAGCAACAAGAAAGAGCAAGTTTCTAGTCTTCATCATTGCAAAGCTAAGCTTGGGAACAGCTAAGCAGAAGGCGTGGGCAGGGATGTTTTCTACTGGGAGAGAGGATGCCTCATCGTGCAACCGTAAACATGCTCATTCTGAAGGAAAATATCTACGTTTCCGAACAAACATGCCCAGGCATCACAGCTTCGGCGTCTATGCCCTTCCCACATGGCCAAAATAGAAGAATATTATGCAAACTATCTTTGAAACGGCAGGATAAGCTCTGCAAAAAAGGAGGAGTGGATGTGGAGCTGAGATGCTCTCCCAGCTCCTGTGAGGGCACGATTTCCTCAGTGCACAAGCTTGGCCAATTCGTGCACGATTCCCAGGGCAGCCAGAACCCAGTACTGTCAGCAGATGGGAATGCTCCTGACATGCTGGATCCTGGCTCGTGTGGCGCTGTGGCGACTGGGCAGTCCCTGGCTCATCTCTGGTTCTGTGCAGAATCAGGAGGAGGGCTCAAAGCTGGCGCTGCTCATCCAAGCTCGGTTTGCGGCCTGGGGCAAAGAGGAGGCCCGCAAGCGGTGCGGCAGGGAGGGCTTGCTAAAATGGGTGGGAAGGAGAGGGGCACAACCAAACCCAAGGCAGCACAGGCCTGGGGCTCGGCAGTCCCTGCATGCAAACACGGGAGGCCTGCCTAGCAGGCCACCCCTTCGCTCTATGGAAAGAAGGAATTTGCCATTCCCAAATGTGTTCTGTAAAACGCAGCACTGCCAAACGCTGAGCGCACTTGATGTGGTCCCTGGTGCACGACATGGGAGATGCGCTCGCAGAGCAGGGCTCTCTCATTCCCTTCCTTTCCAGTTCATTTCCTTTCCCCTCGATTCCCCTCCTTTCCCTAGCCACTCCGGCTGCTCTGCACCCTCCTTCAGCAGAGGGGAAAGAGCAAGAAGCCAACTGTGAACAGAATATCTGCAGCAGGTGGACCCGGTCGCCTTCCAGCTTTACTGTTTGTATGATCCTGGAAGGCGCAAACATCCTCTCCTCTTCCAGCTGCACCTCCAAGACTCAAGGCAGGAGGAATTAGGGCAGAGCAGAGATCTGGAGGTCAAGCCCCACAAAGGTTGGATGACATGCTTGAGACTTCCAGGGGAGCCCCACTCAGGACTAGACGGCCTCCACGGGTCCTTCCAGCCCTCACAGCCTGGGAGGCCAGGAAGAGTTGATCACATGGGGCTGGAACCCGGGGCCACCGGGTCATCAAAGTCCCCCTGGAGTTCTCTTGCTCCCTAGATGGCGAAGTCCTGGGTTACTCTTCCGCAGTGGTGCTTTTCCCTCGCTCGAGAGGCAGGACTGCTCCTTCCTTCCTTCCAGGGTCAACCCAGAGCTGGCAAGATCAGTTCGATGATCGCCGGTACCCGCCTCCATCTTTTATGCGTATCTTGTCTTTCCACCCCACTCTTTCTCCTCTTCTTGCCAGAAAGCCAGGGCAGCTTCGGGGTTTCTCTTCCTCCCTCATCGATCTCAAGTTCGCTGCGGCCCAGTGGCCAAAATGTTCTGTAATGTTGCATCAGACCCTGACAGGCCCATAAACATGCCATCTTTTTAGCAATACCAAATTCAGAGAGTTGTCCAACCTGGTTTTTAAGAGGTGAACAGCTAGAATGCCATTTGGTGCAGAATCATCTAGCTACCCCCCACCCCCATCAGGCCAACACATAATGGGGGACACTCCCAAGGCCCCACCATCCCAGCCAGGCATGGTCCCGCTCTCCCCCACCTCTTCCTCCCAAAGCAACTGCCAGACTGGCAGCCCGTCCTGCAGCCAGTGGCTAGGGAAGCCGAGGGCTCTCCCACGTGGGGACGTTTGGGGCAAAGCGGGGCAGCTGTCCACGTGGGTGGGGGAAGCTGGGGTCCTGCCACGGCTCGGCGGGACCAGCGGCTTCCCAGCCCCTTCCCACCCCACTCGTCCCCGATTCCCCGATTCTGCGATGGGGGCTGGGTGCAGCCCGAGGCAGCTCTTTCTCCAGCTCAGGTTTGACTGAGGTGGGGATTAAAGGTTTACTTAATGCAGCAGAGCCAAATGAAATCGAAAGAACCCAATGAAAATAACAGTAAAAAGTTAAAACCCTGAAAATTGTCGTTGCTGATTGGCAAATATCCACGTGTGTTGATTATATGCAGGACCAAATATCCACACACGACCCTTTGAAGGCCATCTGCTCCAACACAGGGCTGTTTTTTAAATGTGAGTATTTGTGAAAAGACCTTTGCTTTGGGATGGTGTGGGAATCTGCAGTGAATTCAGACTTGTTCAACTTCTACATATCCAATGCAGCAGAACAAATTTTCCTGAGTTGCACATGTTCTGCAGGCTGATTTTTTACTTTCTGCAATTTGCAGATAAGGATTATTAAGGAATTAAGTTGCACCAAAACACAACTCACCCCAAAACCTCTAACAACATCAACAAAATCCAACTGAAAATGTGAATTTTCCTTGACGAGCTAAAATGGGAAAGTGGCACCAGCGTGGGAGGGAAAGTTCCCTTATCGGAAGGGCAAATCTAAGCTGCTGGGCATGAAATATTTATCGAGCTGCATCAGTGATGGGGCAAAAAGGAGAATATGCCATTTTTCAGTGAGGCTGAACCTCCCAAACAGGCCTATTCTGGCTTGTATCTACCCAGGTTGGGGCTTGTGTGGAAAGGGAACCATTTAGATGCTCAGCCGTGCAAACTATGTAATGGCTCTAAATAATGAAAATACGTCAGTGGGTCAGATCGCTTCCCAGGCCTGGCACATGTACATGTAACATGAACTCGATAACATTACCAGGAAAATGTCAAGAGCTGTGTTTCAACAACATCCTTTGTTCAGCCCCAGGAAAAATGTGGGGGGAGAGGGAGAAAGCCATTCCCCCCCCCTGAACATTTCTGAATACAAATTCTGACATGCAGCTGGAGTGGGAAAGGACGTGATGGTTGCACCGTACGGCCTGGAGCTCAACCTCAGAGGGGAAATAGGCAGACTGCTCTGAGACTATTTGGCAGTGGATGGTGTAAAAAGCTACATAGAAACACAGAGCGAGTCAGAAGGGGCCTCCCGGGCCATCTAGCCTGACCCCAGGCTCCAGGCAGCTCCACTCACGACGTGCCCGCCATATGCACGTCCAGCCTGTCCTTGAACACCCGCACCAATGGGGCCTCAACCACCTCCCGTGGAAGCGCATCCCACACCCTCGGGGTCCCAACTGTCAGGAAGTATGTATGTATGTATGTATTTATTTATTTGGGATATCTCTAACCTGTCCAATCACTACATGCCTCTGGTGGCTCACAACAGTGGTTCAATAAATGCAACAATGCAAAATATCATATTAATAGCCCAAGCAGCAAAACTGATAACCCGCAACAGGTATTTAATAAAAACACAATTAAAATTTGTAACTTTAAAATACTGGGTGAATAAAAAGGTCTTGACCTGGCACTGGAAAGCATGCAATGTCGGCGCCAGGCGGACCTCTCTGGGGGGCGCATTCCCTAGCCGGGGTGCCACTACAGAGAAGACCCCACTCTGGGTATTCTGTCTCCCGACCTCCTTCACGGTGGGTTCCCGGAGCAGGAGGGAAACTCCCGTGCTGCAGGTCTTAAGGGGAAGGAGACATTCCTTTGGGTATCCTGCTCCCAAGCCGTACTTCCCGGCATCCACCCTACATCTTGGTTCCCTCAGCTTTGCTGCGCTGGAACATGTCCTGCCCTCCACTGCAGGGGGAAAAGGTCGTGGCCCACCTCTGCGTGGCACCCGCTCTTGTTCCTGCATGTCGCCAGCAGGTCTCCTCGGAGTCTCCTCTTCTCTGGGCTGAAAGACCCAGCTCCCACAGTCTCACCACACACGGCTTCCTCTGGAGTCGCCCTGGTCTCTCATTTGCCTCTCCAGCCCCCTCCCATTCTTCCATCCCGCCTTGGGTGGCTCTCTGTGGGGGATGCTCCTGAAATCCCGGTCAAATTAGCTACTTGGAGAGCTGTGCTGTAAAGAGCCCAGAAAATGTTGGTCATTTGGATGCCGACAAGCCAAACGCAGCCATGAACTATCCCAGCAGTGGGCCATGCAACCAGTGGCCCTGGGGGGTGGGGGGAGCTGCCCCCTCTTTAAAGCTGGCAGGGTTTGTGTCTGGTTTTGGCACCACCGTCCCCTGGATCCATGGGACTCAGCTGAGCTTCCTATCTCTGCATCTCTTCCCTTGGAGTGGGAATCCCAGCAACTTTGAAGGAAACGTGAGGCTGCAGTAAAATTAAAATACTGGCACCTTTTGGTAAAATGCCGGTAGCAGAGGGGTTGACTCATCCTAGCAAAACTGGGAGAAAAATACCTATGGGGCACTGTGCTAGAGATTGTTTGTATACAACAATTGCTCTCAGACCAGTCTTTCCTAAGCAAAGGGACAAAAGGTCCTTTTGGAGGGAGAAATTCATTCAAAGAAAATCAGTATTTCTATAACCTGTGTTTAAGAAACACCAGACCAGTCCAGAAGCTTCCCTGAACCAATTTGGTAATAACTGTGTTATGCTGCTGCAGATGTTTTAACCGCATTCCAGCTATCTCAGGGATTCTCCTCTGCAAACTGACTTCTTCAAAAACTGAATTTTCCAAAACAGGTAAAAAGAGGGGGAAAGGCAGATGCAGAAAAATTAGAAAGGTGGGCAAAAAAATGATCCAGGGACTGGAAACACTGCCTGGTGAGGAGAGATGACTGGACATGTTCAGCCTTGAGAAGAGAAGACTGAGGGGGGAACCTGATATCCCTCCATAAGTCCCTGAAAGGCTGCCAAAGAGGAAGGCCGAGGCCTCGTTCTGCTGATATCGGAGACATGGAATAAACAACTGAAGCTGCAAGCTCCCAGATCCAGATCAGACATTTGGAAAAGCTCCTCTCCACCAGAGCAGCTCGACCTGCAGCCGGTTGCCTAGGAAGGTTGTGGGCTCTGCCACGCAAGAGACGTTCGAGGCGAAATGGGACAGCCATCTGAGTGGCGGGCACAGACGGGGGGCCTGCGACAGCTGGATGCAGTGGCCTCCATGGCCCCTTCCAGCTCCCTTTTTCTATGGTGTTATGACTCCATGATGCAGAGCTGGTAATGAGCATACATACCCGGGTGTTTCCTTGGCAGAAAATCCTGTAAGTTCTACTCCTGGGAAACAGTGGATTGCACAAACCTAACTTTATGTGTGCATTTGAATTCTGAGGGGGGTTTGCACGAATCTCAAATAGCAAGGAAGTGATATTGACACAGACACCCCCAAAGGTGGGAAAATGAATGCTAAATGTACTGAGCATCTTGGAGGCGAGAAAGATTCCTCCAAACCCAACTCCAGGCTGCAAGCCATTTCTGCTCCGTAGCAAAGCAGCCACAAAGGCCCACGGGAGCCACGCCGGGAGGGCCGCACGTGGACGGCTGGCCACGACGTGGCCCCAGGGCCACGAGGCAGGCGGAGACCCTCCGGCACTGGAGCTGGTGCAGCTGCAGGGGGAAGACTGAAGCCACGGCCGAGCGCCTTGTCTATCTCTGACCGTGCGTGGGCTCTTGCATGTATGCACTGGGGGCTGGTGAGCCTTCAGGTGTGCTGCTCCCCCCGCCCCAAAACGCACCAAGCGATGGCAGTCCTCCAACCCTGCCGATTTAAAGGCTTGTGCTCCAGGCGCAACTTTGCACTTCGAAATCCGCTGCAGGGGATATCAGACACTGGTGCTCTGTGCCCTTGGGCGCTGCCGGCAGCCGCCACCGGTTGCTGCACCACCAGCGTGATGGCCACCTGCTGCTCCAGGCGGGCCACCTGCTGCGACCCTGCCAGGCATATTCGAGTTCGGGTGCCTTTGAGCTGTGCTCGCTTTGGCCGCCGTTCGCGCTCAGGACTTGGCTGATTGTCCCATGCGCTTCGGCATCCTTCAAAGGCTGCCTCGCTGCAGCACGTGGACGTGGGCATGAGAGTCCTCCACCAGCGCGGCAGCATCTCCAGCTGGCAGCATCTCCAGCTGCGGGGAGAGTCCATTTGCGACTCCCGGAGGCGAGCAAGGTCCTTGCGCGGCAGAGAACGCGAACACGGTCTTCCTCTTGTCCCCACAGGACAGGAAATTAGTGATCCGGCAGGGGCAGGGGGTGAGGTCGTGCCCCCCACAGGCCCCTCGGACCGCATCCTGGATCTCGAATGTGCAAGATGTGTGCTAATGGGATTTCAGTAACATGCTCCATCTCTTCCGCCTGGTTAGCAAGGAATTGTGGCGGGGGGTAGGTTCCCTCCCCTCTACTCTGAGTCGCCCCGATCGTGTGCGGACGAGGCTCGAAGGAGGCTCTGGCCCACGTCACGGACTGGGCTGTCCTCCCACTGCCACGGCACCGGTGGGGCGCACCCTGCCAGGGCCGAGGGGGACGTCTCCCTGCGCTGCTGGAGGCCCCAGTCTCACGCCCACGGCGTGCCGTGTTCCCTGAGAGGATCGCAGTCCAGTGAGGCGACACCCGCTTGGCGTGCAGCCACCGGTGTTAGCTGAGCCGTGCGAAGGGAGGAGGTGCATGCACATACGCAGGTGTGTGTGTGTGTGTGTGTGTGTGTGTGTGTGTGTGTGTGTGAAAGATCTTTTTGCCTGGGGGTCGATGAACGGAGCACCGGCTGCCCAGGGAAAGCCCATCCTGCGATTCTGCGACTCAGGCAGAGACGCAGGACATTCAGCCCGGGGGGAAGTCCGGGCTGGACAGGGGGTTCCCCGGCCCTTGGGGCTCCTGGTGTTTGTGGGGACCCGCCCATTCTGAAAAGATGCAATGCTCCTCCTGAGGCCGAACTGCCTTGAGGGGGGCTTCAAGTGGAAATAGGGTGGCATGCAGGGGCAGAGCCGGCCTCCCCCGTGACTCTCCTTCCTGATCCCGCCGTTTCTTGGACACCCCGCAAGCCCCACTTGCACAATGGGCTGTGTCTCGCAAGACCGAAAGCCAAGCTGTGCAGAGCGAGGACGGAAGAGAGGCGGGCCTTCCTGTTTGCAACCAGGCCGGCTGCAGCCTCTGCTCGAACATGTCTATTTATTGCTGTGGCTGAAACAGCGAATCCGGTGGAGGCTGACGCAAGGCCGCGGCTGGCAGGTCCCGCCCCCC